GAGGAGAGCTGGGTGCCACGGCAACGGCGCGGAGGAGGGGGCACTTGCGCTACAGGAGGGCATCCAGGTGGCGTCGCCAGCTAACCCATGAACTTCACCGATTAACGTTTTCTGTGTCTGGTGCCATTCGTTTTGTTACACTTTAATAAAAAAAAAACTGTTTAAAAACTTTTTGATTTTAAATAAAAAAGACTGAGATGTTTGAAAAGGGGAACGGCCTGCGCTTGGTGTTTCTGTGTGTGGTGTGTGGTGTGTGTGGTGTGTGTGGGGAGATTGTGCTGAGAACAACAGTGCAGTTTGCTCATCGTGGTCAGTGACGCCTGCCGTCTCTCGTTCTGCACATCCGGGCTGTGAAACGAGCAGAAAGCCGCTTTGAGGAAGAAGCTGTCCATGTTTTTATCCGATAAGAGACGTCTCCAGCGGCCCTGCAGCTCGGGGAGGGCGACTGTTGGAATTCGGAGCACTGTCTTTCCCAGACACGGCAACAGAAACCTCAGTTTTCTGAAGCTCATCCTGGCTGGAAAGGGAAGGTGCAGGTGTGCATCCCCAGCCACTCCCACACGGCACAGGAACGTTCAACAGGAGCCAGGCTTGCAAAGTAAAAAGAGGAAAAGAACAATGTCACCTTCGCGCAATCCCATGATTCCTCTGGATCTGAATCTTAAGTGGTCTTCTCCTACGGTTATGGAATGTGCAAACAGATTCATTATTAATAATATCATTGTAATTGATAATTACCAATACAAACTCTGGTACTGCTGTACAGCTCATTAGATTTCAAGTTCACTAATTATCACATTGTTATTAAAGTTTCATCTTCCATTTAAGCTCCTGGCTTTTATCACTAATGATGAATGTTCTTGCAGAAGGTACAGGATTGCAATCAATTTATATAACTGCTGTCTGCTTCCATTTGCAGACAGATGGTTTGATTTGTGTGACTGTTTTCTGCTCTCTGTTAACTTAGACTCCCTGTGACTTCTTTACAGTTAATCTCTTCTGGCAGTGTGAAGGTACAAGGTGAGGCAGAGCACTGTAACTTGACACCTGAACAAACACCTTGCTGAAATATAAGCCAGGCCTGACCGTCAAAGGAATGTATATACAATACTGCATGCCTGGTGAGCCCTGGTTAAAAGCATACGACTATTGTACTTTTCAAAGTGTTCATTCACTCTTCGAAACTAAACCAGAGCGTATTTAACATCAAAAAATTGTCCAGCAAGTAGAAAATTTATCTGCACTTGGAGCACTGACTCTTGGCAAAGTCTACACTTTTAAAGTACAGCCGCACCTTAACTGCTCCCTCATGGGCTGGTGTTGTTGAAAGCTGTTTGCACAGACACACACATACTCTGGTATGTACAGGGTCGAATACACACAGACATGAACGCACACAGCAGTATGCACAAACATGCATATACAGTACACTGGTGTGCACAGGCATGAATATACACAGAGGGGTGTGCACAGACACGAACATACACGTAGGGGTGTGAACAGACATGAATATACACATAGGGGTGTGAACAGACATGAATATACACATAGGGGTGTGCACAGCCACTCATCCACACACACCCCAGAGAACTGGGTTCGAAAGGCTTGGCCTAAGCCCACCGCCTTGTCCTGCGTCAGAAGCCCCCTCAGGACAAGAATGCTGTGGGGCACGACAGCTTCTAGCCAGCTCTTGGCCCACACTGTGGTCAACCCAGTCTAAATGTCAGGGAGCGACAGTCTGTGTTGCAGACTCCCCTTCCAGATTCCTGGCTGAACGCCGTCTATTCTCTTTTGTCTGCGCCG